ATTTAAAATATCCCATCCAAAATTTGCTTTCATGTGAATAACCCTTTTTGGCTTTTTTATTTTTGTCCATATTACTCCTACTTAAGACATTTAATGTCTGAAGGTTAATTTTGTTCCAAGAAAAAACTCGAGACCTTCAAGGTCCAATTAACCCAAAACAACTTTGGCAAGGTCCAAATATTATCTTAAAAGCAAACTTCACTTGTTCAAGATTCAAAGTTTGTTCATGTGCTCCTTGAAAGAGAAGGGTATTTCCAGGAGCAATGTGTGATCCTCATTCATAAAAGTTAAAGACCCATGTATGATATTCCTCTCTTTATATAGATTAAAGTTTTGCTCCAGTCAAAGGAAGAGGAAGTTCTAAACGGGCTCTTTACAACATACAGGAGAGCCCACAAATATTAACTAAGAAAAAATAAGGTGAACTTCAAACCTTCAAGATCTAAAATTCGTTTTTGGGTTAATTTGGACATTCTACCTCTTAAATAGGTTGGTCAAAAATAATAAATAAATAAAAAATGAACATAAAAAATCAAAATTTAGTGGGGGCTTTTTAATAATGGGAATCCTGAAAGGATATCCCGTGAATTCACCCAAAATAATATTCTTGAAGATTATGTATTTCCGTTATACTTGTTATTTTATATTGTTTCATTTTCTCCATATCTTCCTTTCTCATGGTTTTCTTATTGTTATTTGAAGACAGCGGACCATACCCTTGACCACTGTGATGTCTGTTTTTTTTTACACTCGCCTTCACTATTTTCAACTAAACTTCACAAATCTCTTATAAAATCTAACCTCAATATAAACTTTAGAAATCTCTTATAAAATCTAAAAGAATGTATACAATGAGACCATTTACTTTTGATACAAGGTGGTCACAATTAATTACAGCCATTCGATGTGAAATTTGATAATTTGGGTGTGTCACAAAGTTTGAAAATGTTTTTTTTTAAGATTGAGTTTGGTCAATAGAATAAATATGGCCACCCAATTTCATATCCAATAGTCAAAATTAATTGTGATCTATCTTGTATCAAAAATAAATGGTTATCTAATTTCTCTCTCCCTCTCTCTCTATATATATCTCTTTCTCTCTTTGGTTCATGTGTCTCCTTTAAGCAACTCTTTAAAGAATAACTTCGAGCATGCACCCTAAACAAAATCAAAATGAAATCTCAATTCCGATCTAGGGTTTGGCTCGTATAGTTTTGCAATCCAAAAGAAACAGTGGGTCTAGGACCATTGTTTTATCATTATATTACCTTTTCACAGCAAAGGTCCCTGAACCCCACAGCTTATTTTCTTGTGTCTCTAAATTATGTTCTCATGTTTTCATCGCTTTGACCCCAATTTTCAGCAACGGTTAGAAAGAGGAAAACCCAAGTGAGGGTTTTTGTGGTTAAAGTGGTTTCTTTATCAGTAGTCTCAGATTCTCTCACTTTTAGGGCTAGAGAGAGAAACTGGAGATGAATTTGGTCTGTTTTTAGCAAACCAATTTTTTGTTTGATCTCTGAGAAGCTTAGAGAAGATGATTACAGAGAAACCAGGGTGGATTAGGCATGGGGGATTGCAAATATTCTCCATAGATATTCAGCCTGGTGGCCTTCGCTTTGCTACAGCAGGGGGAGACCATAAGGTAGGTTTTACCCTCTCTACCAAGTCTCTTCCCCTCTGTCTACAAGTGTCTTTCTTTCTCTTTCTACAAAGTTTTTTCCTTTATACCTCTTTTCTTTCCTCCGTTATATTTTGTTTTTGTTTTTCTCTTCCTTGGACGTAGCTAGTTATTGTTCTTGTTTTTCATAGCATATTATCTTGTTGGTTGATCCTGTTTCCTTTCTTATTCTGTTCATGTAAAAACTAGGATTGTTCTTCTTCTTTTTTTGTGTCTAAAATTGGGATTTTTCTAGTTGGGCGGCTGATGTACTTCTAACTTCAAATTGCATATTGTGCATATTATTCTGTTGGGTTGTTTTAAATTCAAGCAAAACTTGCTTAAGTAGTGCATGATTTTTTGGGTTATTCTGAAGTGATGAATTAGCTACTTGATAGGTTCTCATGATAAAAGATTCTCAATCCACATGTTTATAAGTTTTTGTGTTAGAGGAAATATATGTAGGGCAGAGAGAGGACTTGCAGGAGCATTGTAGAGGAAGAGGTAATGTGAAATGTGAGTCAATATTCGGCCAAAATAAAAAAGAAGGAAAAAGTGAAATATGATTCATGGAAACTTACAAATACTTCAACATGTGTCGTCTTTAAAATAAATTGCGATTGGGAATTTTCTATTTCCTAGCTTTTAGCTTTCGCCCCACATATTCATGGATCCAAACTCCAAATGTATACCTAAAAAATTGTATGGAGAAGGTTTTGTTTAGTCTGCCACAGCTTGGTCAGGTTTATCTGTGATGGGCAAAGCTCGAAACATGATTTGGTTTATTTCCTTTCAGGGGAGGTTGGGATGAAGTGGGTTGGGATGTGGCAGGAGTTACCTTGTGTGGTGCGTTTGCTCTAGGAGCGATCTTAGAGATTAGGTGATTGTTGAGTTTAGGAGGTTGGTGAGTATTCTGGAAGAAGCTCTGATTTCAAGAATGGCAATATAGAGTAGATGGGATAATTGGTTGGATCTAGAATATGGGTTATTTAGAAGGATAGATTTTCTTTGAGACAATAGATTATTCAAAAGGTCTTTCCGATATCACTTGGCTTTCACATTTTCTCTGTTGGATGGACTGATATGTTACCCAACATTTAAGACCTTTGATGTCTAAAAGGTGACATGTTGAAAACTCAAGTACATAGGTGGGATGGAGGTTCATAACTCTTTATTCTTTATTTTATTTTATTTTTATTGGTGGGGTTAGTAGCTCTATGGTGTATCACGAATATTTGGAGAGTTCAAGAACCATGACTCTTATCTTCATTATGTATTGTTACTCTTCATCAGTATTTTAGAGTTCCCGAGTTTGACACGGACTCAAGCTAGTCATCGGAAACGCAGGGTGCTGAGTGAAAGATCTAGGGAACTGCCATATCTCACCAGTTCCCGTTCCCAAGGTTTCATTGTTAATTTTTTTTAGGACTTGGCTGAATCTGACTCGGAGTTAGCCAAGTCAACCCTCCAGACTAAGGCTCAGAATTCTGGCGAGTCCTGAATCAAATCTGATACTGTATCACATGCATGTGTCATATAGAACATGCTATATGTGCTCCCTTGAATCTCAATATAAGCTACTAATGGTAAACATAAGCTACACACCTTCAATCAATTTAGAGCCAAAAAAATACAAAAAGGTTTTTGAAATGATTGTGGATGTTTTAGCTGTTCTGAGAAAGACTGGTGGGGAGGATACATTTAAGGACCCGGTTTCTATGCGACGAAGCCCACATATGTAGAAATGCGAGCTTATTAATAAATCTATTTTTGAGATGGATTTTTTAACTTAATTTTCAAGGACATATAAAATCTCTAACATGGAGATCATGAATATGAAAAAATAAGTAAATTTTAAAAATTAAAAATAATAATTCTAGTAAGAAAACATTTGGACCGTTAGTTTCCATTGTTTTTAGATGGAACACCCACTTGCATCCATCTTTACGATGGATGCTTTACACTTTTTGCACCACATATGTAGTCATGCGGTCCAACCTGCATGGGACAATTTTCCTACATTTAAACATCTAGAATATTGAATGGGATAGGTGGTATTCTGTTGATTACAGAGAGAAGAATAGGATGGGGAGAGGTTCAATATTAAGTTAGTATTAAATACAAATCCAGAGAGATGCTGTAATAATGTCATATCACTGCATATACGAAGAGTTGAAGATTAGCTGTGATAGAGGGCAGTGAATGTATATGGATCCCGGAAGTTCATAATTCTTGCATATTGACCCTTATAGATATGCATAAATTTTCGGTGAACATATGGAATGTCTTATACTCAACTTTTCATCTTCTAATCATGAACATAAATTCATCTTCCCTCTATCTCTAACGTTTTAGTGGAAATTGCTTTGCTCTTCCCACTAAAGTTGGATACTATTTAACATTGAGAAAGCACATTGTGGTGTAAAACACTATGAAAATCATAGCATATTAAGGTCATCATCATCCAGTGAAATGATGTATGGTGATTGAGAGAGAAAGAATCCACTATGTCCTATTCTCTTGGGTTCCTCTTTCTCCACCACCATTCCTCATTTCCTTGTGGACGATGATAACCCCCACTGGAATATCACTTCCCATGCTATAGTTCACCTCCCGTACTAGAGTGAACTATATAAGATGTGTTCCCTTTAATTTGCACAATTCCCACTGCTTAATCTTACATTCAAACAGTGTACATTTACTCACCAATTTTGATGGTTATGCCTTTATGGTAGGTTCGGATATGGAACATGAAGTCGGTGGGTCGAGAGACCGAATATGATCAGACAAACCAAACATTGTTGGCCACCCTCCGTGACCACTTTGGATCTGTGAATTGTGTTAGGTGGGCTAAGCATGGTCGATATGTTGCATCAGGTTCTGATGATCAAGTAATCCTCGTCCATGAGAGGAAGCCAGGTTCCGGCACCACTGAGTTTGGCAGTGGAGAACCTCCGGATGTCGAGAACTGGAAAGTGGTGATGACCTTACGTGGACATACTGCAGATGTGGTAATCATACTTGCATGCCTACACATTCATACAGGCATCCATACATGACACTATGGAGGCATGTGGTAGATGTCGTAACTAAAATGCTTGCTTATACATGTAATTTGTACATACATGTGCATAGGTGCATACATATTTCATCCATCCATTCATCCATGCATACATATATGTACGCACTACACATAACGGACATGTAGAATGTATTGGTTTGGTTGTGTGTGTGTGTGTGTGTGTGTGTGAGAGAGAGAGAGAGAGAGAGAGAGAGAGGTTGTATCATTTGTGTGTTCAAGTGAACTTTTTAATAATTCCTATCTATCTAAACTAGGCGTTTTACTTTTTCTGTGTATGAAGTAGGTGGATCTCAACTGGTCTCCAGATGACTTGATATTGGCTAGCTGTAGTTTGGATAATACGGTACACATATGGAATATGAGCAATGGTATATGCACAGCTGTTTTGAGAGGTCACTCAAGCCTTGTTAAAGGAATTGCTTGGGATCCTATTGGTTCTTTCATTGCAAGCCAATCTGACGACAAGACTGTCATTATTTGGCGTACAAATGATTGGAGCCAGGAGCACAGAACGGAAGGGCACTGGGGGAAATCTGTACGTTTATTCTATGTTACAAAACCCATCAGCCCACCTTTTTTTTTCCCCCTTCTTGCTTACATTAATTTACAAAGACAATTTGTTGCTGATCGTAAAAAACTCAATGCTTTTGGAACTTATTTTTCCTGAGGACCAAGGACTTTTGAGCAAAGGGAAATAAACTGTTTCAAGAAAGTGCTATTTTATTCATTGTTAAAAGATATATGAAAAAGGTGTGAAGGATGGCCTGTCAGGTAAGAAAGAAAAGAGAGGAGTGAGGCTTACATACATACGGTTCACTTTAGAAGACGAGCAGGGTATTTTCTAGTTCTCTATTTCTGGTTTTCTGGGATAGTTATTTCAGATTTTGTGAGTTTCTTTAGAACCCAATGTTCTGTTTAAGCAATAGTTCTGCCATAATTGGTACCACTTTCGAGCCCTTCCATCTTTGATCACAGCAATACTTCTTAGTAATATCACTTTGCATATTTTATTAACCAAAGCCATTGAATTTATCAGGTTGGATCCACTTTCTTTAGGCGGCTTGGATGGTCACCTTGTGGTCATTTTATTACTACCACACATGGGTTTCAGAAGCCTAGGCACTCTGCACCTGTACTGGAAAGGGGCGACTGGTCAGCTACTTTTGATTTCTTGGGTCATAATGCCCCCGTTGTTGCTGTGAAGTTCAACCATTCTATGTTTCGAAAGAACCTTGCTAATGGTGCAGATTTAAAGGAATTTCAGCAAGTTGAAACAGTTGGGTGGTCGAATGGTGCCACAAAGTCAGTGCCGAGAGAATCAATGCCATATAATGTGATTGCCATTGGGAGTCAGGACTGCACTATAACTGTTTGGACCACAGCAAGTCCCCGCCCCCTTTTTGTGGCCAAGCATTTTTTCACACAAAGTGTTGTTGACTTATCCTGGTAAGGAATAGGCTACAGTCATACTCGTTTAATTTCTTCTTGGTCTAATGAGATTTCACCTTTTGCAATTTTGCATTTTGTTATTCAGTCAATGTTTTAATCATAGGTAATTTTTTTAATCATAGGTTAAAATTTTGATAATTGTTTTCTGATTTTTTGATATATTTACAAAAAATATAAATTTGAATGTTTAACCGAAATTTGATGTGTAACTGAAATTTGATGTATAACTGAAATTTGAATTCAAGATATAACCAAACCTCAGATTGTCAGAGTTTCTTCTTAGATGAAAAAAAAAAATCAATAGTTTTCTGATAATTTAGTTGTAGTTATAAAGAACTAATGGTTTCTTATACTTTTAATTGCAGTAAGAAAAAACTAATGGGCCAAACTCAACAAATAACCCAAATTTAAGCATGCTCATGGAAGTCTTGTATTTGGATGGATACATGATTTCTCAGTAGAAATGATCATGCTTCTGAGTACCAGAAAGCAAGACAAAACTCCACAAAAGAACATTGAAAACAATGGAAAAACATCATTTTATCTGAAGGCCAACTTCAACATCGGTTTAACAGTTTGTAAATCTGAAATTTCGAACCTTGGGTCTGAAATGTTACTTGATTTGTCATAGGAGTCCTGATGGCTATGCGCTATTTGCTTGTTCTTTGGACGGGACTGTGGCAACGTTCTATTTCGAAGTGAAAGAACTTGGCCACCGAATCAGCGACGCTGAACTCGATGAATTGAAGCGGAGCCGATACGGTGATGTGAGAGGACGCCAGGCTAACCTAGCTGAAAGCCCAGCTCAACTCTTACTAGAGGTAGCCTCAGCTAAGCAGCTTCCGACCAAAAGGGGGCTCTCTAACCTTAGCACCCAACAAAGCCAATCACCAGGAAAGCCTCCTTCTATGGAGGTGGCCAACCCTGTAATCTCCCAGACCCAACCAAAGGGCCTGGATCCACATGTTGAAGATGACAAAAAAGCTATGGTTTCTTCAGGTGGGGCTGGGTTGAATAAGGCTGGTTCAGCTAGGACCTCCAGTCCAGTTAAACAAAGGGAGTATAGGCGTCCAGATGGAAGAAAAAGGATAATTCCTGAAGCAGTTGGAGTTCCCATGCAACAGGATAGTGTGTATGGTGGGACACAAGGGGCCCCACTTGAGTTGGCTCTCTCATTCCCTGAACAAAGAAAGGATGGCAACGGGGAGCTTAATGATGATAATGGGGCAAATAATGCTCTTCTAAAAAGGCCATTTCATGGAAATTTAGAGACCAATGAACTTGCTAGCAAGTTCTGTGACTGTGGAGTGAAGGAGCGGGTGGGGTCCACAGCCAGGGCCAAAGTTACTGAGGGTCTTATTATTGAGAAGGCTGTGGGCTCTGGTGAGGGGAAAGTTAATGTTGAGAATGTTGGGCATGTGAGTACTGGTAGTTTCTTATCAATTAGGGTTTTCGATAAGGATGGAGTTCAGGATAGCATACCAATTTGTTTGGATGCTAAGCCTGTGGAAAGAGCAGTCAGTGACTTGGTTGGCGTTGGGAGCTCTTTGTTGGTAAAAGAAACAGAGGTTACGTGCTTGCAGGGAGCTGTAATTCTATGGTCTGATCGATTAGCGGGAAAAGCAACTGCAATGGCTGGAAACACCAATTTCTGGGCTGTTGGTTGTGAAGATGGCTGTTTACAGGTACTTGTAAACTAAATATGATGTAAAATTTTACTAGTTTGCTAACCCTCATTCTTATGCTCATCCAATGGTGCATTGCCCGTTCAACTTCTTTTACTTGTTTATTCCCGAGACGGATGAGAAAGAAGCTGTTGAGATCGATATGAGCAAAATTTTGCACAAATGACCAAGTTTATTACAATCCAGTTGGACTATGGAAAAACCATACTCCATCTTTTGAAAACTTAAAGTGATAAACGGTGATTGAGAGTGACATTCACTGTCTGGTCATTTCCAGTTATTGTGGGTCTCACTGTCTCCATAGTTGAATGTTATTGCAACGGGCAGTGACGGTGTAATGGAAAATGGTTTCTCCATCTCCCATTTGGTTAGAGTCTACTTCCCAAATGACAGTATTTAGGCAGAGTTTATATGCCTCATAATGAGTTGTCGTGGCTGTTTCTTGTGACATTTATATTTGCTTAACTCTTGTTTTGACTCCTTGAAAAGGTCTACACAAAGTGTGGGAGAAGAGCTATGCCAATGATGATGTTGGGATCTGCAGCCACTTTCGTAGATTGTGATGAGGGCTGGAAGCTGCTTTTAGTCACTCGGGTAGGATCGGTCTATCTCTGGGACTTGTTTAACCGAACCTGTGTTCTTCGTGACTCTCTTGCTTCTCTTATTACTTCCACTCCAGATTCGTCCTCCAAAAATCCAGGTAAGGTTCCTCTGATGGTATCTAGTTTCAATATAGATATCATTGTTAACACATTCAGGAAAAAAACAAATATATATATATATATATAT